TGGGCTGGAGAGAGAAAAACAAGCAGGATGGGACTGCCTGGGCTGGAGCTGGAATGGGACAATGAACTCCAATATGCAAATGGAGCAGAACTTGTAAAAGTGAGAGATCCTGTGAGCGGTCATGCATTTTGGGACCATTTTGGTTCCTCTTGGGTGCAGCCCTGGCTGGGCTCTTGTTCTGCCCAAGGTGGATCCATGGAGGAGATCCTTTTAATAAATCCCTGGTTTATTCTTTAGCTCCATCTAGTCTCTGTTCCAGGTCAGCCCTCACAAGGCATCATGGAGAACCCTGGGAATTAGACCTTGGCTCATTGAAGTGCTTCAGTCTGGGCCATGAGTCTCAGGGTGAAGCTGAGCTCTGAGGGCTCAGGTCTGGCAAAACTGAGCAGCTTCAGGGACCTCCAGCACATCCCTGAGGATGAGCCTTCACAGCCTGCTATGTCCCCAGATGTGTCCCCTGTGCCTTGGGCCTGACTGTGGGATAATACAGGGTGCTCAGCGTGTGCCTCTGTGCTGATGGCACCAGCTCACCTCCAGTTTGCTGCCAGAGCTCTCCCTAAATTGGGGGTGGCTCCGTGTGGTGGAAAAATCTCTCCTCCAACCCGTGCTTTCAAAAAAACACTCAGAAATCTTCTGTTGTCTGGTCTCATGATTGTTTATTGCAAGTTATCTAAAAGATTTTCTCCTGGGGCTGCTGTGGTTTGCTCACAGCTCAGGCAGAGGCACACACACACCCTGACATCCTCTCTGACCCCGACTGCTTCTTCTCTCCCCGCCCAGGGCTGCTGCTGTCTTTTATATGGTACATTAAGTGTTACATGGTTACAGTTTTCCCCCAGTAACTATTACCTATATTAAATGGTGATTTTCTATATTTTATATGGTGCATTACGTGTTACATGTTTGCAGTTTTTCCCCAATGCCTATTACCTATATTAAATGGTGATTTTCTACTCTAAACCAATCTGTGAGTGCCAACATCACCAAGAACATGGAGGTAAGAAAGAAGAAAGAGGGAGGACAGGGCAGGCCCAGATCCCAAATCCATCTTAAAACCTCTGACCCCCATGTACAAAACCAAAACCCCCCTGTACAGCACTCAAAAATTCTTCCCTTTTCTTTGCGGCTACTTCTAGTATAATATCTAAACTTTGGTGACTTCTTGTTCTTCCTGCAAGGTTGGTAAATCATTCCATAGTTCAAACCCAAAATCACAGCTGTTTCCAGCTGCCTGCCAGGGTCTCAAATGCTTCTGACCTGGGCCTGGAACCTCCAAAAATGTCTGAGGGACATTTGGAGTTGCTGCACAGACCCTTGCAGCAGGAATGGCCCTGCCTGTATCCTCACCCTCTCATCCATACCTCCCACCCCATGGATGTGCAAAGGAAGGGATGGGGAGGAACACAGCCCAGTCCCACCCAGGCCTGTGCTCCATCCAGCTCCCATGGATCATATCATCTCTGCTGATTAATGCAGTGCAATCAACAGTTTAATATGTTACTACTAAATACGTTAATTATATTATTCCTTTCTGACACTGCAATCACTAGATTTTTATGCTTTGGTGCTAAATCTAGTAAAATTTTAAATTGGAGTAATTAAATAATTAGCTGTAATATGTGACAAGCCAACAAAACGATTGCTGTTTTATTATTTTGTGGTGACAGCCTTGCTTCTGTTTGTGTTCAGGCAGCCAGGCCTTGAAAGGAGTTTACAGTCACCAACCCATCCTACTTCAGACCAGAGATCTCTGGCAGAGTCAGTTTTGACTGGGGGAAGTAATTTGTATTGTCTTGAGCTCCAACAATAGCTCTCCATGTTTTTATGACTGCTGTCTTTAAGACATACTTCACCACCCCTCTCTCCTTAAGAATTATTTCTACACTTTTTCAAAGCTCTACTGTCCCTAATGGCTTTTCCCTCTCCGTTTAACCTCACACTTCAGTGCACTTGTTTAGGCTTTTATCTTTGGTTCAGGGCTCTGGCTGCTT